GTAATAACATTAACCAGAGTTTTTTCTTCCCAAAATTTACTTTCAGAAATTCATTTTTGTCTTGAAGAATTCAGTTGATCTCTCTATTCACAGGAGGAAGAGTTTGCACTGCTATTTTTTCCCCCAATCTTTTCTGTGTGTTGTTATGAATATCCTCAATTTTCAAATTTATTCCACAATCCAAAATAAAAGAAGTCTCCTTTCACTCTTCAAAACCTTCTAATCAACACCTGCTTCGGTATTCTGCTTCACACTAAGCTTCACGAGTGTATTTTCAAGGCAGCATCTATTACCTAATACCCCTTTGTGTCTCTGCTTAAGTTTTGGCTTTTGTTCTCTATTACTCTACTGAGACTGTTCTCACAAAGATCATCAAGATCTTAGTTTTGTCATGTCTAGAGGTCAAGTCTTTATTTGATGCAGCCTCTGGAAAACATTCATCTCCACCAATCTTTCTTTTTATTCCTAAAAGACTCCTCCACCTTTCCCTTCAGACAACCACACATATTTGGTTTAGCTCAAAGTACCCCTAGTTTGTTCCTCTTTAAATTTCAGCCTCAAATATCAGAGCATGGAGTATTTTACCTTCCAGTGTGTAGGGTGTCTACACTTCTTTGTTGTAAGGGCTGGGAAGGGAACTGAGAAATGTAATTTGCTCTTCTGAGAAACTCATTTGTATCTACACTCCAGGGAAAATGCCTCTGGAACGTAATTGCATAGATTGCACTTACAATCTAACAATACTAATTCTTACAAAGTAAGAGCTCAGACTTGTATATTTAATGCAGAGGCTCTTTAGTATGTGTGCAATAAATGGATGGATGGATTGGTTTAGAAAGTATGATCAGTGTGTGGCTTGTTCTCTATCTCAGCCTAGTCTCCACCTCTTAAATTCTGTTTAGTTGGGTGGGTTTGGATGCATTTTTTTTTCAATTTATATTCTGAGTCTTTCATCTATATGATATTTCATATGTTTTATATATTTCCTTCTAATCTTTACAGATGCATATATTTACATGTATAATCTCCAAATGTACATTTGATATCTCCATAAGTCAACAGCGACTAGAAATTTAGCAAGGCAAAATTAAGTACATGATCCTCCATCCTATTCAGCCTTTTGATTTTTTTTCCACATCTCAAAGTGTGCATGACACACATGAGATCATCACTTTCTTTGACCATAGCCCTTTGAAGCCTTCCCACTTAGTGTCATTAAAGCAAATAACAGAAAATGCTGTTAAATGTTAATTTTAGAATATCAAACTTCAAATTTGATACTCAGAATATTGACCATCCCAGATATTACAAGGTGAATAGTTATACTAGAATGATTTTTTTTTCTCGATGTCCTATGCTTTTATTTGCAACATTTAGCAAACCACAGTTTAGAAAATAGCCAGCACTGTCTTGCTCTCACGGCCTTGGCTACATCTGTGGATTCATCTGATCACACTTTACCCTTTTCAAGAGACCCTTCTGTTTCCTTACCTGCATCTATGCAGGCAGAAGGAGGATATTATTCAATAAAACTAGGATTTTCTACAGGTAAGAGTTGCATTGGTTATATAAAGTCAGGGAAGCCAATAACATAGTTTAAATTTGGAATCTGGAATAAACAAACCACCGCAGTTACCAAAAGAATCTCTCATTAGAGACACATGGCTTTATTGCCGTCAACCTAACAAATAGCAAAGTTGTCCTGTATATATTGGTTATGAGGAATTCTTAAGATCATTTGAATGCCAACAGTGCCTGCCCTTTGTCTCACATACTACTCAGCTGGCATGCAAGGCCTTGTGTAGATCAGAAGCTTGACATTCTAGAAGCAGCTCTGCTTGTCCACTGTGGCTCCCTTTTCAGACAACATGAGTTTCCACATGTGGGTGCCTGGGCTGTGGCTATGGATGTGGGTGCAGTGATTATGGATAAGTCTATTCTACCCATGCTTCTAGGGAAGCTACTGAGCTCTGGCTTCTGAGGAGTTCTAGACTGCTGATCTCTTTAAGACATTCTCCTGTGAAGCACTATGTGTAGTTCTGATATTATGGACTACCTGCCTGTGGCTGAACAGGTAGGTGTTCTGCTTGTCATCCTGCATTATCACAGAGAGACCACCAAATTTAAGACCTTTATCATCCAGAACAAAGCTAGTGCTTTGTTCACAAGGCATAATATGGCTTAAAGTGTAGATTCAAGTGTAGTTCTGATCCTTCTAATCTAGCTCATGTTCAGAAAAGATGTTCATAATTTATTTCCTTACTCACTCCATTTATTATTGTTGTTAATAACATGGAAAATAATAAAATGTAAAGCAACAAGATCCTCTAGTCTTTCAGTGACTAAATGTTACAATTTGATAACTGATGGAGAGCCATATAAAATTACTTTGTGAATGGGGCTGGCTCAACTGTTAACCAACCTCCAAAATGCTTATTT